TTTCATGTCACTGAATATTTGGTTGATGAAATGATCTGAAAATGAAAAGAAAGGTGAATAAATAAAAGTAGTTTCCTTCTTATCCGTATTATTGTGCAAGTAATTTAGACTAAATAGTAATGATATATATGTTTTTGTGCTTTTAAAGTATAGCAATCGTTATGAATTATCATTAGCATTTCGAACAATTAAAAAGATTAATATTTGAGTATGTGTAAGACGAAATACAGTGTCTAAGAAACAAGTTTTGATTATGACTCTTTTTATTTTCTAATTATTTGTTATTAATTCTCCTGGAGTTTTTACTTGGTCTTTATCGGAAAAATTAATTTCAACTGCAATTTTATTAATGTCTCTTTGTCAAAGTTCGGTCGGATTCTTTAGATCTATTAATATGTGTTCTTGATTTTCTTGTTATCGTACTTTGTCTTCATTAGAACATCTAATTTAAGTCGATGGGCTTCTTGAATTTGATTGAATAGGAATTTTGCTTTTAACGATCTTTTTACTATTGAAACAGTTGTGTTGTTAAAATAGATATAAGATATTTTCATGTTATTTTTTTCAGAAAAATTCAGTGTCGTCAAATTTTCCTAAATTATCTGTATTTTGTTGTGCTTTCAAAAACTTTTGACTTATATGAACACCAAGTTTAGACATATCATATTTGATGTTAGTTTCAAGATATGTGCAACTAATGTCCTTTTTGTTGAATAAACATTGATAAATAATTTTGATTAGATATTTTTTGTACAAATCGAGAAATGGATTCTCACTATTCAATAAGATATGTTGAGCAATTTCAAAGTCAACTTCAATAATATATCACATTGACCTTTCTTGAATCCTTCATGTTCTTCAATGTTAAATCAAATCTGATAAAACTAAAAACATCCTGTTTCTCTTACTTGAAATCTTTCTATTGAATGAAAAGTTTAAAATATTCTATGTCACTGATTTTGTCAAACTCGATGTACTTCAATGCAGCCATAATTTTCAATGAATTTAAATCTAAATAAATTTCAGTATTGCAATCTTTTTCTAGTTTATCCATAACAGTATCGCATTTTTCTTGAAATATTACAGACTTCGAACTTCTATCATGAGCTGCTCTTTAACTTCTAAAGGATCAACTCCGAATAATATCATTATTATTAAAAAGATTGTTTTCTNACATTTTGATAAGCTAATATACTGAAAAAGGTCGAGACAGTGATCGGTAAAGTTCCAATGAGTATAGGATAATAGAAATATGTAATATAATTTCTAAAATTGTCACTAGATACTGTACATCCACGTTTTGATTGAATTTCAAAGAAGAACAACAGTAATATACCATGTAGAATCCAAAATATAGATGCAATAGTAGTAAGAGTTTTAGCTAATTTTATTGTACTTATTTGTCTTAAAAATGGATGACAACTTGTTGATAAATATTGATCAATAGCAGCAAAGCAAACAATATTAAGTGAAATCACAGTTATAGACTGTGTCAAGAATGGTTTTAATTTACACCAAAGTATCGATGTCTGTGATAGATCATTACCAAATCCATTAAAACGCAGATGGATTTCCTCGAAAAATTGTAAGTCGAGCAAATACGAAGATGTTAGCAATATGTCCGAAAACACCAGAAAATAAAATAATAAAACTAACATAGACTGTGTATTGTCGAGAAGCATTAAGAATTAATTGTGCTGTTGATAATGATGACATGATACCGTGGAGTGTCGGTTTCCTTTTTACGAGTAATGAATAATGTTTTTCCTTTTTTTTGTTAAATAAGAATTTCTTATTTGCTAAAGATAATAATGTGAATATCTATAATGTAAGAAATGCGAGCTTCAGAAAATTCAAACATATGATGAAGGCTATCAAAAGTTACTTCAATAAACATTCATCATAAAAAAATCTTGTTGTTTAATCAATCTTAACAAAATTTTTGTTAGCAATTGCAAAAGTTTGGGATAGCAACAAATTTGGAATGTGTCTATTACAGAGTGGAGTCTACAATGATATTTTAATGTTGTTACTTAGAACATATTAGGAAGATTACAAAAGCATGACTCCTCAGGTGAGTATTAAAAATTATCATATAGCGTGGGTTACAAATAGCATTATGACAAAAATGATGAAATATCTTTGCGTTGGTTCCATCAAATTAGCTTAATTTTTGAGATAGAAATTTACAACTAACTACCAAGTAAGAAAAATACATGTGCAGAGTTTTATAAAAGAATAATAATAAGAAATCGAAAGGGAGCCCATGAATGATACTATATACTGATGAACATAAAGCATATTTTGAGAGCTATTTAATTCAAATGCCAACAATAACAAGATTTCGAATTTTCAAACGCCAAACATTGATTTTTGCAAACAAGCTGATCTTTTTTAGTCCTATGAACTGCAACTGTGCATTTTACTCATGAGTTACTTACGTTATCCGTATGAAAAACAAAAGCTATAAATACATTTTTACCATTTACTAAGAATTTAGTCAATTCGACTTAACCAAAGCCGAGATTTTTCAAATTTTTGTCATAGAACAATTTTGGTTTACACTGTTTACTCGATTATAGTTGTTAAGAAAAAGTAGAAGTAAATAAAATGCAAAATGTCAGTAACATGTTTGATGCACAAACGCTTTAGAAGATAATATTGTTTTGAATTCTAGATGGCTTTCTTTCTCACTCGAGTGGAAATAATGTTTGACTTTTGATGCATCCACCGAATGCGATAGATAAAAATAAGCAATTTAAAACATATCTATATAATTTTGTTCTAAAACATTCCCATGCTTATTTTTAAACACATTCGAATGCCTTTGCTTGTTGAAAATATATTCGACAGGTAAAAATAATTCTATCTCGACAAGAAAATGTTCAGAGCATTCTAGCAAAAATTACTCTAATTAAAAAACGATAGCATGCTAATAAAAATTGTAGCTGAGCTTTTGTCGCTTGAGGATCATCAAGAAAATGAATATCTTTATTTAGCACCATGATATTAATCAGATCATTATGACTGGCAACTATAATTTTGATCTTAAATCTATTCATAATTAATTGATAATATTTCCTTTGCTTCAGTTATTCTCCGTATTCAATAAAATAAAACCCGTGTTAACTCGGCATCGGAGAGAATTTTTTTTATCCAGCAAATTTTATTTTATAAAACTATATACGAATAAAGAAAACGTCATCATTATGCTCACAATAATGGAACTCATTGTCGATAGAAATAAAACACCAAGATCAATCTCCATATCATGTGAATAGATAGATAGCTAAGTGTAATATGACTTGCATTTTTCAATCAATACACCCAATCACAAAGCTTAAGATACATGTGTGTGAGCTTGAGTGTCTTGTTCTCAGTCAACACTAACATGATGAATAAGCTGAAAATGTTACTCTAAAAGGATGTGTTCTTCCTGAGATATTGAATATCCGAAAATAATCATGTGTGACAACGAACAGTAATAAAACCCAGTCTTTTCAACATTTGATATCTCAAGAACAATATATCATATTTGGGTTGAAATTTTCAGGACATTCTAAGATCCACGAGACCTATTAATGACAAAAAATCAGCTGAAAATTTAATAATTCGAGTTTTTCATCGAAGTCTGCTAATGAGCAAAATATTAGTTTGATTGGCGAATCACACTTGAGAATATTCTCTCATTAGCTGTTTTCTCTAGTCTAATTCTCATGTATGAGACAAATCTTGAAAAATGATACTGAGTAGATAAAAAAATTATTCTTAGTATGAAATAAATATGTTACTCTCAAAACAATTCGGGTTTGTTTCACGCTAAGAATGCAGAAAATTTTATCTGCAGCCTTCACTTCAATGACAAAAAAGTGCCACATCAAAATACTCCTCAACTTGCTTTTAATCATTATGACAAAAACAGAAATTATCATTAAAAATATAATCACACTACACGGTATCCGTATTTTAAATTGTTGGACTCCGTCACTGTTCTATAATGACATATGATAAAGTGGTTCGTTGGCAAGATGGCTACTTCAATTTTGTGAAAACTCATGGGCTATCGAATATATAAAATGAAAAGATATTATAGATACCGTTTATTGATAAAATGCACTCATACTGGAAATGAAATGAGACAATGTTTCATCAACATCACCCGTTAGACTCTATGCCAATTTGATTTGTTGTATCCATTCCTGTTTCTCGTTGCTACACTTAAGCCGAGATATCACAAACGCTTTTTTCTTATTTTGACTCAAGTAAGTTCCGGCTGTATATATTATGGTTTATTTTTACACATTATCATTATTTCATCTGTTCTCTTCCCTTTTAGTCGACTTGAAAAATGGTCTTTCACAACATTTACATCAGCAAAAGACCTTCGTTTTCATGGTAAAAGTTCTCTAGAATTCGAATCTATTTTTCACTGTTCCATAATAACATTATAATAAACTATTTTGAATGGGATAATCTTTAGTTGTCTCATATCAAATTTCATCTAAATGAAATCAGATCCGAATAATCTCCTCTATTTTTTAAAACCAGTAACAATGAATCTTGTTCGAGAGTATATGCTGAAATTCTTTGCGCCTATGGTGAAAACATTCTGAAAGAAGCCCTTTTCCGGCTTAAACATGACTTGACCTTGTAGAAAATGTGCGTTGCTTTTCAGAACTCTACATTCACGAATGAATTTATTGTACTATTAGATAGCGCTGTCTTTTCGGTATGATTTATCAATCCCTCGAATTATATTCTACATAGCTCGATCTGTGACTTTCCGAAATCTTTTCTTTTGTCGCTAGTTCATTATTTATTTTCTGTGGTTGATGTTTCAAATTGTACGCAGTTATTTTGATTTGCTTATCATCAATTGAAAAACGTACAGTATTCGGATGTCATTACTTTCCTTGCTTTTTTTCAACACGAACGAATAGTTCAACAATTTTTGAGATTGGACAATATCAAACTCACTTTTTTTCATCATTGTCGAGACGATGACATCCCTAGTCGAACATCTTGTAAGCAAGATCTTGGCCAAGATCTTAGGTACAGATAAGTTAACAGATCTTGAAAATTTAGGTACAAGATAATCTTAATATCTTGTACCAAGATCTGACTACAGATCTTTGGTACAGATGTGTAAGATCTTAGTTACGAATTCATAAGATCTGAGATACACATTAAGATAAAACGTGTTGCATGTGTGATGATTTGCGACACAATGTATCACGAATTCTGCATGCGTGGTTCGAACCTAAAATACAGCTCATTTTTTATTTTTTTCGATAAAAGCATGTTATGATATTTTTGGGATTTATTTTTATTTTAATTATTTCTATCCCGATTATCTCAAGCAAGTCAGATGCCGGGANGGAAAGACGAAGAGTATGGTTGGGTGAGTGAGTGGGTGTGGGTGTAGGTATGGGTGGGGTGTGGGTGTGGGTGTGGGTGTGGATGTGGGTGTGCGCATTTTCTTAACCCACACCCACACCCACATCCCACACCCTTCAAGGTTTGTTTTATTAATAAATGAATAGAATTATAAGTAATTTAAAAAATATGTTTTAGATTATTCATTAAAAAATATTTGTCATAATCAAGATATAAAATTATCTGGTGGTTTTATTTCAACATCTAATCATCCTCATGGATTTTTATCAAATTTAAATTTGTTTATGTACATTAGTACCATCAGGAGATCACTCGATTGTTCTTGAAATAATTCATTTTGATTTTCCTATATGTAATGAAGCTGCTCTACTTTTATGGATAGGACAAGATTTTCAAACATTATGTCTTCAACAAGATCCAATTACATATATAAGTAATATTCAACAAAATATAACATGTCAATTTTATACATTAAAAACAAGTAAACAAGGAGGATTTTTAATGAAATATTCAATATTATCGGAATCAAAAAAATGCAACTGTCAGATTACAATGTCATTTATCATCATCATAATCAATAATTCGATCAACAATATTAAATAATTCTTCAACATCAAAATATTCTTTTAATAATCAAAAATCATATGAATATGAATATGAAAAAGAATTATCACTTATTCATTCAAATGATTATATAAAACGAAATCGACATTTTCAATCAATTATTCAACCTTATACTGTATATTAATATTACTATTTATATTTACTGATAAGAATTTTTATTTTTTTAGAATATAATACCTATATATAAACAAGAAACATTACAAATTTTAAACCAATCAACATTTCAAGATTGTAATTAATAAATATCTATCTTAATTAAAAAATTTAAATATAAATATTTGTTTTGAATAGATATATTACCAAATTCTAATCCACTTTCTCGTTCAAATCTCAATTTAATTATTATATTTATTGTATCATTTATTGTTTTTCTTATTGTTATTAATGTTCTCATATGGTTAATGTGTTCATTACGGTATGTATTTAATAATAATTTATTAAATAGCGATAAAAAACAAAATCTAAATTGATTAGATTCAAAAGTACAAAATCAACATCATCTGTTCAAAATTTGTATAATAATCAAATGAATGTAAATAATGAAGGAAAACGTTCAATACATAAACAATTTTCTCAAAGATCAAATCGTTTAAAAAGTATTCATTCATTATTATATGTTGATCATAAAGCTGTTGATATTAATCCAATAAAAACAAATATTAGTCGTGATCTTGATTCATCATTATCTCAATATAATATTAATTCAAATTCATCTTCAACTAATCTTAATCATCATTTTCTTTTTAAATCAAAATCAACTGAAACACTTCAACAACCAAGACAAATTAATTCATGGGATGATATTTAATTCACGATTCTTCTTTTTCTTTTACAATACAATTCATTTATTATTATTATTATTATGGGGTGTGGGTGTGGGTGTGAGTGGTGAATGTGGGGAATGAGTGTGGATGTGGGTGTAGTGTGGGAATGGGTTATTAGACAAAAGAACCACAGCCACACCCGAAAATTTTCGTGAAGATTTATTCGATAGTGAAATATCAAAATATATCGATAAATATCATTCAAAAACCTTTGTGAAGCAATGATCGATAGTAAAGCTGAAAATTTACTTTATAATTCTAAATGTTTTCGCATACCAATCAAATTATAATCATAGAATATCTTCTCCTATAAAGTATATTGGACATCGAATGGAATAAATCGATATGATCACATGCGAAATATATTACTCAATTTAATGAGGATTTTTATCATGTAGTTCAATAACAAATTGATCAATGTGATAAATCTAAAGTTTATTCAATTCAGATCCATTACAAAATGAAATATTCAGGAATGTGATTGGAGGTGATAGATGATATTATGAGAGGAAGAAACGAGTTGTTGAAAGATAGACTTTAAATTTCAAGTATTTATTGAAAATACGACAGAGTGTTGGTATGGTTCTGAAGAAAATACATCTATCCAAACCCACACTTCACGCCATCTCTGTTTGTCATTATTCATTACTGTTTCATGTTGCAAATATTAAGTTAGAAACAAAGTGATATCTTTCTCATCTTTGATTTAATAGAGTGAATTCCATCACACATCTGTTGAAGTTTATGATTTATCGCATACTTTGTAGTGGTTAGTATTAAGCTTCTTCCTGATTGCCTATTCATCTAATTTACTCAGTACTTATGTATTGAATAGTTGTCAAAATATTTCGTCGAACTAAAAACTGAGCTACTTTTATGCTTCTTACGATGAGGATGTGCGAGTGAGGTATGGATATGTGGGTGTGGATCTGTGTGTGGGCTTGGCTGGGTGTGTGGATTTGGATATGGGTGAGTGTCTTGATGAAAGTGTTAGCCTTGTCTTCATCCACACACCCACCCATAATTGGAGATGTTTCGGATAAACAGTCAATGTGTTAACATTCAGTTGACTGAATACACAAGTAACGTTCATTGACCTTGCAAGTCGATTCACTGGGTCGTGGGCTGACAGACTTTATCAGTGCGAATGTATCGGTCAACGTAAAATCGGCCGTTTGTACCAGAAACGGGTTCTGTTATGTAGAAGGGACTAACAGATAAATTGAACGAAGACACAGAGAGGGAGCAAAGAATTGAGAGTAAGGCACGAATCAGATGAAAATGAAAGATGCCCAAGGAAAAGCAATAAAATAAACAAAAACTATACAAGCTGAAACATGGGAAGTGGAGGCAGGCAGTGGCTAAACTGCGGTTTCGGATTAGGCGAACAAACCGGGGGTGGGTGAATAAGGATCTCTGTCGTCCTAATCCATAAAATACGTATTTCGAAAATGACCGGAGGGAGCTCAATAGTATTCCAGAGGGGTGAGAGGAAGATATTAATTCTCACCTAGTTACTAACACGCGTGGCTGAGGGAAACGGTTCGCAGAGGGACTCATCCCGAACTTGTTCAATGGCTCCGCCACTACAAGGGCGAAGGATTTTGTGTGTTCCTCCGCTTGATCCGACGATGGTTTGCTCAGTGTAAGTGGTCATTTGTACCATAGAAATGGTCGTTTGTGCCATGTTTGTTATAGACAGACAGCCGGACAGAAGAACACAGGTGAATTGCAATTTCTAGACCCTATCCTTTCAGTCTAGGAAATAAGCCTAAGCTAAGTGCTGAGGAGGTCATGCGACGGTAAGAGTACCGTCAAAGCTTAAAGACACAACATATACGAGATTGAATTTGATTTATGTAGTTATCCATTAATTCGTAGTAGTGTTGCAATAGTGGCTATCGATGGGTGCGAGTATGGGTGTCGCTGTGGCTGTAGGTATCGATAGAGAACTACCCGAAGCACACGCCTCCACATCTACAATATTCCCAACCCACCCACACAGACCACATCAGAAGCCGTAGCAAAATGAACTTTAATGATTTTAATTTTGTTCGGTTTCTCTAATTTTATTCTGATCGATTTGACTTCGACTATAGTTTGAACTAATCGATTGAGACTTGATTCGATTGTATTTGAGTCGAAACGAACTGGAATTGACTCCATGCCTGCCACAAATTCATACTCACACCGGCAATGTAATTCCTTTTTATATTGATTGTTGGAAGTAGGAAAAAGTCTACGACTTGCTTAATTATTAAACAATACACAAAAAGGATGGATCCTGCAGCAATATATAGTTTTCTAATAGGTCTCTTGCAGCCAAAAAAAGATCAAGTACACAGAACAAAGACGCTACTCCGAAATGCTTTTTATCGAATATGTCCAAATCGGATTATCTTATAAGAAAAGATATCGGATTGCACCAAAATCGAACTAATCTCGGACAAGCGGATCTATGTCAATCAATTTATTGTATAGAAATATAGATCAACTTGAACGTGAGAAGTAATGCTCTTCATTTTTTTTACTTAAAAAACACATCTGTCTGTATTCATTCTGGTCAGATAAAAACGACAGCGTGCGAGTTTCTACAAGGTTCACAGGCATACCCATACCCCTTATAAGTACTCCCGGATAGTGCAAATACTAATTGTTTCTCCTAAATTTCTTTTAACGTTTAATATCGAGAAAGACGGTCTTATTTATTAGAGAGGAAAAAATACAAACGGAAGAGCATTTTTAAACATCTGCCGTACGAATATAGCCTTTTCCACTTGGAAGATCTGTCTTAACTGCAACACCTTGTGGAAAATACTTTTCAACTTCGTTATCATCAACATTGGGTGGAACCATAACTTTGTCACCAACCTTTCAAAATAACAAATTGCAATAAAAAAAAAGCAACAAAAAAGAAATTATTAAACCTTCCAATCAACTGGCGTAGCAACGTGTAAATGATCAACAACCAGTAATGCATCAAGTAGACGAAGAATTTCACTAAAACAGAACAATTGAGGATATGAATTAATAAGTGGAAATCAGAAGCATACTCAAAATTTCTTCCGCATGCTGCTGGATACAGCAAAGTTGCTTTCACTTTCTTGTCAGGACCAATAAAAAATACCTTAAAAATTAAACAGCTTTAGTTTAATAATGATGAATAGAATAAAACGTACAGCGCGAGCAGTACGTGGTAAGCCATTTTTTTCAAATTCAGCCGGATCACTAATGCCAAGTTCCCTGGTTAATTTTCTATCATTGTCGTCGATGATTGGAAATGGAAATTCACCTGAAGGTAGATCTATAGAACCGTAACTTTGAATATCCTAAGTAATCAAAATAAACAAATAGCTAAGATAAAAGTTAAGACGAACTTTAATCCATCCCCGATGACTTTCAATACTGTCGCATGATAAACCTATTAATTTTGCATTTCTTAAAGCAAAATGTGGTTCTAATTTAGCGGCACGTGATAATTCAGTTGTACAAACAGGTGTAAAGTCTGCTGGATAAGAAAATAAAATACCCCATCTAAAACAACGCAAAATTGAAGCGTTTCATTTAAAAGTAAGACGATGACTAACTTGTTCCCGAGCCAATCATATAATTGAATATCACCAAAAGTTGTTCTTAATCTATAATTTGGAAAATCATCACCAAGTTTTACCGACATTGCTTCTATATCAACAAGTGATCTACTTTTTATCTAAAAAAATATTTCTATTAATGAAAAAGAAAAGAAACTAAATTACAAATAGGGACTAAGACTAAAAGAAAATAAAAATGCTGCCATATCCAATGAAATATTCAACGTAAATAAAAGGAAAATGATTTATTTCGAAGTGAAAAAATTCCTTCTTCCTTATTTTAAAATATGGATGCAGAGGTGAATGCTTCCTCAATTCACACCTACGTATGCACCGAGATCGACAATCTTCCCACTGCAGATCTATCGTTATATTTTTCTTTCAAGTACTTTCAGGTATATCCCATGCGTTTAAGGGTGCACTAGGACTGCCACTTTCTTAGACAAAGCCAAAAATTTTCTATAGAAAATTCTTACACTACTGTCGGAAAGCCTAGTCTCAAACGGAACTATCGATTACGATCAATATCGAATTCAGACCGAGAATCTTGGTTTGTTCTTGATACCTTCCTATTCGCGCTTGCATTTATACCCTCCTTTAAATCGACTTTTGATCAAAAGTCAATCGATTTGAATTCGATTTTGTGCTACACTTTGTCCTACACGAA